ACCAGATGCCATGTGCAACTAAGGACTAGACGGTCGAAAGCTTCCAACATCTTCCAACGCTAGCGGGAGGGAGGCCATCGCCAGTAGGGGGAACGGAGATGTTGTGCAAATGGAGGCAGGTTCCAAAGACGAGGTCCAGCTGGTTCCAAAAGTTGTTGGCGGTCCACTGGGTTCGGTGACGGTAGATCAAGCTTTACGGCCCCAACAAGTACCTACCAGGACCTAGTACATCACCACCAGGACCAGGTTAACCCCTCATACCCCACTCACCAACATGGAAGTGGATGGCATGGCCACTGGGAAGACCATGAAATGGTTTGCCACTTCCATGTTAGTGACTAGTGAGTCAGAGGGTAGACCAAGTCTCTTTTTTCACAGAATAAGACAAGAGGGTTTCGCACGGGGTTGCATTAGTCAGTAACAGATTGGCCAGGCAAACTGTCAAACATCCTTGTGCTTGCCAGGCTGGCCCTTTAGATTTGTGGATAGCATTTGGTTTTACTTCCTTTGTTTGGCAAGTCGACTCATGATGTTGAACATCGTGAGTGATGCATGCCTTTGCGCCTGCTGCCCTGCGGTGTTGTTTGATCTTATTGCTCATTTTGTTCCAGACATGCACCATGTTGCAGGGCAAGGCAGACAGCCCCGCTAGTCCACTAGTCACTAGTCCTAATTCCTTGGCAATCCCTACCATTTTGCCGGGCTGCACTGAGGTGAGTTCCTTTTGTGCAGAAGGTGGTTTGATCTCCCAAAGTTTGCTCACAAAGAAACAGCTCAAAGCGATACCCGCTTGCTTGATGCAGACTGGCAATCAGGTTGAGCAAGGCAGAGCTGAAAGTCTTTGCATGCTGCCGCGCAAAGAATGCACTTTGTGAAGCTCGAAAGAGGGCAAGAGCAGAGATGAACCTGTGCTTCCTTCCAGCTAGCCCAAGGGCCCAAAGGTCATTTGCGACTCATGAGATTGGCACCAAGTTGGACACAGCTGAGTGGCTCTCACAACTCTCCCAAAGGTGTCCATGCGTGCCATCTCCTAGTACAAAAGATTTGCATAAAGGCTGCAAACTTCAAAATCACATCGTTGGAGGCCATTGCTACTAGGTTGGAGACCATCGCTATTGCCTTGCCATTGTCGACACATCAAATCATGAACCTTGGCTTCGCAGTCTTATTTGCTCCGCAGGTCTCCACTTGTGCTCTTTTTATATAAAGGTTGTTTTTCCCTGTTTTGGCCTGTCAAGCAAAGAAAGAAAGCCCTCTCAGCCCCGCGGAGATTACATTTTGAAAGAGATGCACAGAATCAACAGGAAAAGCAGGAAAGCCTGATGGACGGGACACAAAAAGGGTGTTTGTTGCCAACCTCTCCGTGCCCTTCATGTCCTTCAAAGGGCCTTCAAAGGTCCTTCTCGGCGTCTTTAATCAAGGTCAGCGAATGGACGTCACTTCCACCTTCGTTTCGGGGCGGCTCCGAAAAAGTGGATCGCTTTGACCAGAACCGAATCACCGAACGGACAAACTCCGTGGTGACCTGGATCGTCCACTTTTGAACGAGCAAATGGCGATGCAGGCGAAGATGCGACTGAACATCTTCAATGTTGTGAGAAGTCTCAGACTGCAACAGCTTCGTGAATATGGTTCGACAAACAGGTCAGAATCCGGATGTTGCTTCATGAAAAGTATACCCTTGGGCGGCACACCCAGAACCAAGCCGGCTAAGCATAGCTTCGCATCTACTCGTAGCCTCAATAGCAACCTAGGTTGACAGAGCTCACTGGGTTGCCACTCATTATCCGAGGATACGGGCAAGTTCCTTCTGCCAACTTTGCGTCATTGAGTCGTCTTCGAAGCGATTGGCCTTTGTGTCACGATGTCAATATATTTGATGCTAGAAGAATCCGCAAACAACTATTCAAACCGCTCACTTGCTTGAAAGCGCTGCTCAGTTGTCCTTAAGATGCGATAAAGATCTGCTGTTTGCCAGAATTGCAAAGATCCGACAAGATCTGAGGTGTCTGCCCGGCACACGACAAGATCCCTAATTGGAGCAAAAAGAAAAGGAACCAGAACCTACTAGCGATGGCCTCCAACTTAAGAATGATGAGAAGCCATGTATTTGTGCAGTTGTTTGCTCCATTCCTGTACTGCTGCAGTTTGCCTTTGAGTTGATTCATCCTTCCACACCGAGTGATAGTCTTTTGTGAACCTTGACCTC